TAGGACCAAACGTGGGGAAGCATGGCCTGGGGGCAAGGCGCCGGTCAGGCTTCGTGGCAGGACTTCTCAAGAGTTCTTTTTCAGACAACTCCATCCAATCCAAGGACTCAACCTGGGATGCCTGGGGCCAAGGCGACGGTCAGCCATCACAGCAGGACTCGTTCAGGATTCCTTTGTCACTTTTGTCACTAGTGGATAACTGATAGCTTCGAATCGAAGGATCCAAGCTGGGGACAAGGTGATGGTCAGGCTACGCAGCAGGACTTGCAACCATGTCTTTCTAGCAGAATGTTATGTTATCAGAGAACTCCGTCGAAGGACGGAAACTGGGATACCTGGGGCCAAGGCGACGGTCGCACATCACAGCAGGACTCATGCATGATTGTTTCCGTGTGTCACAGAACCTCTGGATTGCACCGAAGGATGGAACTTGGGGCCAAGGTGACGGTGGCACATCACAGCAGGACTCATGCGTGATTGCTTCCTTGTCACAGAATCTCTGGATTGCACGGAAGGATGGAAGCTGGGGCCAAGGTGACGGTGGCACATCACAGCTGGACTCATGCGTGATTGCTTCCTTGTCACAGAATCTCTGGATTGCACGGAAGGATGGAAGCTGGGGCCAAGGCGACGGTCGCACATCACAGCAGGACTCATGCATGATTATTGCTTCCTTGTCACAGAATCTCTGGATTGCACCGAAGGATGGAAGCTGGGGAGGTGACGGTGGCACATCACAGCAGGACTCATGCGTGATTGCTTCCTTGTCACAGAATCTCTGGGTTGCACGGAAGGATGGAAGCTGGGGCCAAGGCGGCGGTCGCACATCACAGCAGGACTGCATGATTATTGCTTCCTTGTGACGTCACAGAATCTCTGATTTGCACCGAAGGATGGAAGCTGGGGACAAGACAACAGTCAGGCTTGGCAGCAGGACTCATGCATGATTGCTTCCTTGTCTCACAGAATATCTGGATTGCACCGAAGGATGGAAGCTGGGGAGGTGACGGTGGCACATCACAGCAGGACTCATGCGTGATTGCTTCCTCGTCACAGAATCTCTGGATTGCACTGAAGGATGGAAGCTGGGGACAAGACAACGGTCAGGCTTCGCAGCAGGACCCGTGAACGTGCCTTTATATTGACTCATTGAACCGTAGGACCAAACGTGGGGAAGCAGGGCCTGGGGGCAAGGCGCCGGTCAGGCTTCGTGGCAGGACTTCTCAAGAGTTCTTTTTCAGACAACTCCATCCAATCCAAGGACTCAACCTGGGATGCCTGGGGCCAAGGCGACGGTCAGCCATCACAGCAGGACTCGTTCAGGATTCCTTTGTCACTTTTGTCACTAGTGGATAACTGATAGCTTCGAGTCGAAGGATCCAAGCTGGGGACAAGGCGACGGTCAGGCTACGCAGCAGGACTTGCAAACATGTCTTTCTGGGAGAATGTTGCTTCAGTGGCTTGACCAGTAGGACGGTTGGGGAAGCTCGGCCTGGGGGCAAAGCGCCGGTCAGGCTTGGCGGCAGGACTTCTGAATAGTTCTGATACAGAGAACTCCGTCGAATCGAAGGACGGAAACTGGGATACCTGGGGCCAAGGCGACGGTCGCACATCACAGCAGGACTCGTGCAGGGTCTCACACAGTTTGAGTGTGGATTAATAAATAATTAATTAGATTGCATCGAAGGACGGAAGCTTCACCGGTCGTCAGTCACCCAATTTCAGTGTGGATTGCATTGCCTCGAAGGATGGAAGCTGGGGACAACGTGATGGGCAGGCTGAGTCGCAGGGCACATGAACGTTTCTTTGTGCACAGAGTGAAGATCACACAGTTGGTTGATCTAATCGAAGGACGTCGGTCCGGGACGACCCGCAGATCAAGCTTCACACCAGGACTCGTTGCTCATGACATGATTCTGTAGCTGGCAAGGTCTTCTAGTCACGGTGGAGTCTAGCCTCTTCAAAGTGCGGCTCAACAGCGAGGATCATGGAGATGAGCAACAGGACAACTTGCTGTCAAGCTGTATAGTGCTAGAGTCAGAGTGGCAGCGGAGGAACTTCCGCTGACTAAACAATGAATGTTGCAGGAGGGAAGAGGTCAAGACGGTCATGGCCAGGACTTGTGAACGCGTCCAGAGTTTAAGAGTAGTGTAGGCTGTTTAATTTGAATCTTGGACCTGCAGGACGATGGGAGAGCAGATCCCTTCCAACACCAGTAGGACTCCTGAACATGTGTTTGTACTGCTGGTCGTCGGGGACACATAAGTATAAGATTGCATTGCGAGGGAGGTCTCCACTTGGATTGGAAGCTGGGGTCAAGAGACACGAGTAGTCAGAGTGCATTCACTGTCACAGCTGTGCTTCAACATCGGAGGACCAGCCACAAGACGGTCATCAGCAGGACTTCCGACTGTGTGTGTGTGTGTTTGCGTTCATGTCATGTTGACTGTCAAGTTCCACAAACACCTGACGTTCACAGGATCCCTGATGGGAGCTGCAACAATGGGGTCGTGACCGTGACCTCCAGCAAGAGTCGGTCGCCTGTTTTTCTGTCGTGTCGTCGTTTGCGACAGCGCTTGCGGGACCGACAGTCGCAGAAGACGGGGCAGCTTCGGTTTAGATTTGTTTGGAATAAGTTAAGTCAGTCAGTCAAGTCTTAATATACCGACTTAGTCAATGAAACTATGCAACACTTCTCATTGAGTTGCCATTAATGGACACATTCAGAATTCAGCTCTTCAAATGAGAACCTACCATGGCCGGTCCCGTCTTCAGCTCGAATCGACTCGGATCAGAGCAGAAACCGACGGTCGTGCAATGATGGCAAAACAAGTGCAGCTCATGCATCATGGGTGCCACCTCATTTGTTTACAGCAATGATGCATTTTCCCGTGGACAGGCTTTCGGCAACATCTTCATGACCTGCCACATCCCTGGATGCAGTGGGTGTTCCGGTATTTACCTGTCTACTTTTTGCTCCAAGGCGAGAGCTTCACATGGGGCCGGTCAGTGTCCCGCATGAGGCGGATTCGTGAGGTGTAATCATAAATAAATCAGACCGATGGACAGACCACCGACGTGGCAGGCCGGCCCGGCGACGAGTCGGTCGTCCAGCACTAAGTCAACGTTTCATCTGAGGATCACAGAGCCAAGTCAAGATGCATTGTTTGGCACCTTGAGCCAGGCTAGCCGAGGCCATCGGGGGATCTCGTCAAAATGACAAGATCCCCCAATGGCCTCGGCTGAGCGACGGTCTGACACAGTCCAGGAGGACTGCTGGGTTTGATGCTTTGATTCACAAAGGTTCCAGTGCAGTTCACGCTTGTCCTTTTTAGAAATAATAGACAGAGCCCTATAAGTTTACCTATATCCCTTAGTAGGAATTAATTATTCAAGAAGGTCTACTAGCCGGTCTGTTCTGTTTATTCTTTCTGGGGGAAACCATGAACATGGATAATGCTGGTGCAGTTCAGGTGCAGTTGAGGTGCAGTTCAGGTGCAGTTCAGCGTTCGTGCTATTATAGATTGGTGCAGTTCAGGTGCAGTTCAGGTGCAGTTCAGGTGTGGTGATGCTGCACAACCATATGTGAGGTATACAAATCATAAAATAGTAAAAGGTATGCTGTATTACAAAAAAAAGACACGAATGAACTTACCAGGATCTCTGGTCTGGTCAGAGTAAGACTACTTGGCCGGTCCCTGCCCATAGCATCACACAGTTTTGGCTTAAATACATCGGCTCTAGTGATAGTGACAGTCACTATCTTGCAACATATATATATATATATATATATATATATATATATTTAAGCCAAGGTGCTCCGATTGATCCATAAAGCTTCTCTGCCACATCTTGGCGACACCTGGTCAGGAAGTGTTGCCGGTCGAGCTCCTCGGGTGCTCTGGGAGGCATAGACCTGGATTGAAATTTTCAGTCCAGGTCTATCACCTCCCAGACCACCCAATCTAAATCTTCATGGCTCAGGGTACAGGCCTCAGTGTCGGTCAGCATTCAATAATGCTGGACACTGCTGTAATGATTGACTTAGCAACACCTGGTCAGGAAGTGTTGCCGGTCGAGGAGAGCTATCGACAGGTGTCCTCAACCCTTCGTCGGCACCGCTCAGGCAGTCGAACTACGACTGGCTGAGTGGCGCCGACGAAGGGTTGAGGAGCTCCTTGGATGCTCTGGGAGGTCGGGCTCCTGTAGCAGTAACAGGTCCATGCCAATTTGAGATCCCAGTCACCTTAAGTATTGAGGTCCAGGCAGAAGCAGATCTACTTTCTTTGCCGGTGGTGTTCTCAGACACATGCGTGGGCAGTGTACTTTCGAAAGTGTTATGTGTGTGTTCGCTCAAGGTCTATCACCTCCCAGACCACCCAATGTAAATCTTCATGGCTCAGGGTACAGGCCTCAGTGTCGATCAGCATTCAATAATGCTGGACACTGCTGTAATGATTGACTTAGCAACACCTGGTCAGGAAGTGTTGCCGGTCGAGGAGAGCTATCGACAGGTGTCCTCAACCCTTCGTCGGCACCGCTCAGCCAGTCGACTACGACTGGCTGAGTGGCGCCGACGAAGGGTTGAGGAGCTCCTTGGATGCTCTGGGAGGTCGGGCTCCTGTAGCAGTAACAGGTCCATGCCAATTTGAGATCCCAGTCACCTTAAGTATTGAGGTCCAGACAGAAGCAGATCTACTTTCCTTGCCGGTGGTGTTCTCAGACACATGCGTGGGCAGCGTGCTTTGGATACTGTAACTAGCTATGACTTCATGATTCATATTTGCCAAGGTCGGCCGCCTACCATCACCATCTGGTCAGACACCATAGAACTGGACTCCAGCTCTATGATGTCTGATCAGCGGGTGCCGGTTGGCCTGGTCCTCATTGGTTACCTGCAGTTGTTGGGCACAGTCACAGTCGGTCTATGTCTATGATGCCTGCCATGCCACAAAGCAATTTCAGCTTCACGAGACTTGCCGGCCCCACTCCCCGTCGCTATGGCCAAGACAGGTTATGTCGGACTGTCGGTCGACCAGTGGGAGCACTGGCTCTGGAACCCAGTTCCCGACGTCCAGGCCTATTTCTCCCCATCGGTCGCTGTCTATAAGGCTATCGCTGGTGTCGGTCGCAGGTGCCTTGCTGCTGTGTTTCAGTTCATTTATCATGACCAGCGAGGATGCAGTAGTGTAGGTCGTCCTTAGTTCTGAACTGCCCGGTCGGTCAGGATGCAATACCAGCTTTCCGACACGGATCCCATTCCGGGGCCGATGTACCAACGGTCGAAGCACAAGGAGCAGGCCCATCGTGTTTCGGCTGAGGGCACAATCATGTGTGTTACTGATAACGCCGGTCGGGAAGATGAGGTCAAACTTCTGTTGACCCGGTTCGTGGTCGTGCTGGAAGTGCAGGTCGATGAGTTCCAACTGGCTATGGAACAAGGGTCGGTCAGACCATGCACCAACGACGGCTTCGTCGTGAGGAACCTCGACTTGTCGGTCGAGAAGCACCTCAAAGTCACACGCATGGACGCCCGCCTCGAGGTGGAGGCGTTGCCAAGTGACGTGCCGGTCGACAAGCCTGCTTTCGTGTTCTACAAGATCTCCGATGATGTGACGGAGCTGTCGGTCGTGAAGAAGCTGCTGGCCAACAGCATCAACAAGCCCCGAGGGCAAAAGCGGCCTTCCTCCACAGTCGGTCGGGGTGGCACTGGATAGATGTATTTCAGTAACCCGACGAAGGCTGCGCTGATGTGTTGGCTGGCAGGTGGCGGCACGGCGGTCGATGTGCGGCTGAGCTACTATGGAGTGGGCATGCTTCCAGCTGGACTCCTTCACTATGATGAAAGCATGTCGCCGGTCTGTGTGCTTTGGTGGCATTCGATTCAGTGATGTTGCAGTTGCATGATTTCTAATCCTGCAGTTGCAATCTACAGCATAAGCTGTCTGCTCAGGACTACTACTACGCGCCGACGCTTCCCCAGATGGGCGTTGAGTCGGTCGCCGCGGAGTACAAGGTCATGGTTCAGTTCAGCAACAAGGTGCCGGTCGGTGACTTCGTGAAGTTAAAGAACCTCGAGACGCTGAAAGAATACATGTACCAGAACGATAAAGAGTTGGAGGAGCTGAACAGTCGGTCGTCAACTCTGCTCGCGATACAGAAGAAGCTGGTCGCAGAAATGGATGAGATGCTCGCCAAAGAGTCGGTCGTGGATCTGGCGGGCAAGACAACGGTGTCGGTCGAGGATCTGGCGGGCAAGACAAAGCAGCCACTCGTCATGGAGTCGGTCGAGGAAGATGTTGCAGGCAAGACAAAGCAGCCGCTCGTCATGGACCAGGTCGCTGAGTCTAGCTGATGTCCACCACGCCGGTCGAGTCAAAGGCCTTTTTCCTCACTCTAGCAGGCAGGCTGGCCCTGGCAGTTGTCGGTCAAATAATGACAGACCATCATGATCATGACGATAGTGTTTTCTGAATGCCAGATGCAGCCTGTCCTGCCAGCTGTCGGCCATG